TGTCGTATTTCCAGTCTGCCAAATCTGAACAACATAGACAGTGGCTACTGTAAGTTATTTTTCATATTTTAACTTTGACAAAACTATGGTAAAGTGGCTATATACACAAAGTGTATCACTATTGTGGAGAATTTCTTTGATTTTTCGATATACAACATGGCAATCTTGGATCTGGCTATGTACATTTTTTAATGAGAAAGTCTTTGCATTAACTAGGGTTGCAACCAAGTCATCTGTCAAGGTGTTTGAAAATAAGCGTACATAGTATTTTAAGTGAATTTTTTGTAGAGAGTGTTGATACTGTCAATCTGAAGATTTTACTACATTGTATATTGTAGTACAGACAAAACAGCGTTTGCTGAAAATATTAAGTGCTTCATACATCAAGGAGGAAGATAATGGGAAAATACCTGTAGATAATAAAAGAGCTACAAGAATCACGTTGCTGGGATTATTATTCGTAACATTCTTTTTTGTAATCTATAAGTCTGGGAACTATAAGATGTATTTTTACCGGAATATTAGCCATTAATCTCGGAGGAAATAAGTTTTTCAAAATATACACTACAAGCAGCAGGAGGCTGACTGAATTTGAAAGACTTATCCAGCATAAAGAACTTACTTTAGTGTTCAATTCATTTAATATGACGTCCATTTAGGGTTTGATTGAATTGAAGACCTCAAAGAATGTTATCTTAAACATCAGTCAATGCACACCGTCATTTCAATGGAAGTTACAGAGCTATTTATTTGAAATGGAAACACTGCACGAAAACCGTTTTCTTTTCATTACTATTAATTTGCTATTATGAACCAATTTGAATATCTGAATATACTGTACTATTTACGGTTCTTTATAGAAATTCGAATCATCCACCAGGACAACTCTTCTGCCGTTTCTAATCGTCAAAGGGCATATCTTTGCACGTATAGAAGAGAGAATAGAGCCTGAAATCGATGGCCTGCGGGACTCCACGTGCAATGGCAAAGAATCGAAGCAAAGGTTATTGTGACGTTCATGATTACTCACAGCACCAACAGACACAGAGCTTTCGTATAACAAATATATTTATTAACAAGAAAACAAAAATATATAGCACTTAATAATCTACTTAAACCTAGCTCTTGATAACCTACTCATTCCCTATCGCGGGAGACGACCAAACCCGATGAAGATGGTTTTGATTGTGGCATTCCGCCCACTTCTACTTTGAAGGCGCACAAAGCCTAGCTTCCGTGACCGGATGTCACGCTGGACACAAAGTCCTTTCTGGCGCACAACGGCTGGTTGCCTCGATCGCAGGACATCTTATCCGATTGAGAATCGGCGTGAATCGTGGCACTCAAACCACTCTTCACCTCAGGCACGCACACAGCATCGCTTCCCCGTGAACCGCAGTCTCCCAGGGACATTAAAGTCCGGCAGGCTTTCGGTCAACTAATGACTCCAGCCTCGCGAGGCCTTGGCTCGCATATGCACGTCTTGGCGCCAAGTTTGTGCACACGCACGAGGTTCTCCCACCGTCTCAGAACCCCCCCATACCTAACTGCTCTGTACACGTCTGTTATTAGGCGAGGCCCACGTGACCTACCTACGTCACGCCACCCCCTCTCTTGTTATAACAGTGAAAAGCTTCTATAGCCGGAAAACTCCCAAGCCTTGTGCTCTCACCGTTTCCCGCGTTCTTGCCCTTTACGGAAAAACCCTTCTTCCTGTGGCAAGGCTAATCCTGCTAAGAGCGTCCCCCCAAATAGATGCCACGAGCCACATAGTACGTAATGTTCCATATTTCAGAAAGATATTTCTACCTCTCTGAGATCGTTGGTTGTAAGTACGAACACAAACAACTCTGAGCAATACTCGAGCTTCTAAACAAAGGTAATTTTGAAAGTAAAAATGTTATGATCAATGAAGTCAAAAGCTTATTAAAACATCAGACATTACAATAGGTGCATCCAAGGGGTGAGGCGAACATCTAAAAAAGAAAATATTCTGTTTCCCGATAGATTTTGATTTTCGAAATCCGATGTTGCAATCTGAAAACGCGTCATGTGTCTTTCGTATGTAAAAAAGTCTCTCTAATATTCTAAAAAAAAACAGGGCAAATAAAAATTGGCCCGATATTGAAATTCCGTTTTTGTTGCCTTTATTGAAAGCGTCTTTAATCTTATCCATTTTAAAACTATATGTAAAAATTTCCTGTGGATAGGATACATTAAATATGTGAGTTAACTGGTGTTTAAATGGCGGGCGTACTAGTCTTTAACAAACATACCGGAAATCATCTTAACCGGACCTAATATTTAGTTCTTAGTCCACCAATATTTTGAAATCTTCTTGACAAGAAGTTTCGGAAACAAAAACATCGTGTCTAAAATCTATTGGGGAGTGAATGTTGTTGCTGATGTTGAATTTTCTTGCTGAAGGACCCTTTAGTGAGATCGGCAGCAATCTCGAAAAGTATTTGGTTAAAGACTAGCCACTGTCCCGGATCGTTCATATTTTCTATCGTTACCTTTTAAAACAACATTTCTACACGGTTCTAGTTGATTTGGTCGAGTTTTTACTACACTTTTCACATTACGTTTGTTTTATTTTTTAGTTCAAAATACAATTATCTTATCATGATTTTAGCTCCCTTATGATTAGAATGATTTGTATTTTTTAAAGTACAGAGGAAACCTTGGATACGTAGGTGCTTAAAATGAAAAAAGAATTCCGTTTGTTTTACATGATGTCTTAATCCTTGTGTTATCCAAAGAATTGCTTTCCCCATGAAATTTTTAATTTTCATTTTTGAAGCGAGCAGCAAGTGTTAAAATGAGATGAAAGCGTTTGCAAAAAAAATTATATTTATCGTTTGTTATGATCGTCCGTTGTAGGTGGGATAGGTAGGTAGGTAGGTAGGTGGGTGGGGGGTGGGTAGGCAGGGCGGGCAGGCGGGCGGGCGGGGGGGCCGATAAAGAGAAAAAACAAAACAGACTAAGACTAAGCAATAAGAACACGATCGTCGTGTGAACGAATGACACGAATACCATCTCCGCCCGTACCGTGCCGTCAATACGCCGGTGAAAATTCAAAACAAAATGAGAGAATATAAGAAAAAAACAACAACCATGAGTTAAGATATAATTATTACAGCTCGTATCACTGAGCTAATTCACGGGCCTAAAATTCAAAACAAAATAAAAATTGTGTGGCGCTGTGAACTTCCAAAACGCTTAAGAGAAAAAATAATGAAGATTGAAAGTAAGTAAAACAAATGTATTGATCGATGCTTCAATACACCATAAATAAAAGCGGGTCGACTTTCTGAGCGATTTGTGTCGACAATACGAACGAATAGTCGAAGGGAAAGGAACGAACCCAGTACCTCGTGCTGTAATCAATGCAGTTTGGTATATCGAATTCCTTCATAAATATCAAGTGTATATATAAACTACTTTGTGGTTGATTAGAGTAGTTTCTTCCTTAGGGAAGAAGATAAACCAAAGAAGCCACGTTTCCTTTTGTTAGCGTGCACGGAAGAAGGGAAAACATTTAAAAGTACTGGTGCGGTTCGTCTCACGCGAGCCATTGACGTCAGTTTCGGTAAACAACCAGCGGTTGTGCGTCAGAAGAATTGCACCATTCTCTTCAACGCACGCACCGATGAGCAAATCGAAAAAAATCTCGAAAACAAAACAGTTTGCCAGCCTCCAGGTGAAAGTGACCACTCACCCTACCCTTAACATACGTAAGGGAGTAGTGAATCATGATGACTTTGCGTCCGAAA